TCAATGTTTGTTTGAAATCTTAGAAGAAAAGTTTATTCATGTTCGAATTTGTCTTCGCAAGACACTCTTACACGCAGATGCATTTGCTTTTTGTCTTCATACACAGGTGATGAGAGATTTTAAACTATCTTTGTCTTCTAAGTAATGTCTTATATAATATCAAATCTTTTATTTAATTAAATTTAGTTTTCAACGTCACCTGCATTCACAAATTTACTTTCTTTTCAAAAGCTTCACACTTGCACAATTTTCATAAGTGGATGATGATGATGATGATATTCAAACTTTAGACCTTGGTATGTATACACTTATCTTGACCATAAAAAAAATGATATTTGAGGTAATTTTATGAACAAGATACTTAACTTTTGTTTTTTATTAATTAACTTTGGAGAAAACTCGGTATTAGACGAGAATAGATGAAAATTAATGAATAATGAATAATTAATTGATTGAAAAAGATTAAAGTTGAACATATTATGGAAGTTGGGGAACAAGAAGTCATATTTGAAAGTTGAAAGACCTATCTGAACAAAAAGAGGAATCAGGGACGAAATTGCACAAGTAAAAGTATAATTTTATCAATTGGAGATATCGTAGCTCAACTAAAATTATGGTTCCCCATCATCTTGAGAATCTACTTTAAACTTAAATTGAGATTTATAAATAGAAATCTTTCATCTATAATATATTAAATATCACATCAAATAAGAATCATTTTTGGACGATTATCACCCTAATATAATCAATTATTTTAATAATATCTTATTTTTTGTTTTTCAATATGTATTTAATTTACAAACTGTAATAAATATTATAATTAATTCTCAATTAATTAACATTAACATTAACATTCATATTCATTTAATTAATTAATATTAATTAAAATTTCATATTCACATTCATATTCATATTCATATTCATGTACATGTATCTGTTATTAATTCTCAATTAATTAACATTCACATTCACTTCATTAATATTAACTAGAATTTCAAATTCAATGATACAATTCATTATTCGCGTCCTTATATGTTAATTACCATCCGATTTCACTTAATTAGAAATTAAAATATATTCATTTAATATAAATGATTTGACATTCATTGTCACATATATATTCATTGGTATTAATTTCCAATTAATTAACATTCACGGTAATTCATATATCGTGTTTGCTATTTATCTTTATTTATATATTTAGTTGTAATTTTAATATTCACATTCAAATATGAATTTCACTATTTATATGCGTGTATAATAATTAAAATTTATTTTCAGGGGTTTGTATTTCTCTTATATTTATATCAAAAGAGTAAATAAATAGTCAAATATTACTTTCACGACACTTATAAAATATTTCAAAATAACGTGCAACGCACGTTCACTTTGACTAGTTCAATTAAAAAGAGAGGAAAAAGATACAATCTCTAGGTAAAGTTATACGTCAAAACACATTAAATTCTCAAGATTTATATCTCAATTTAGGAGTTGAAGATTGAAAAATAATCGGCTGTGAGATATACATGCTTTGAAGAGGACATTGATAATCAATTGTTGGAATTGAGTGTCAAATTAAGAATAATAATTCCTAAAATTCTTTTCTTTATCTCTTGTATTGAACCTAATAATGTTTTGAATTTTTTATTATTTATTTTCAATAATATAGTTGGCTAAATAATTGATTGTTACGATGAACGTTGTAGCTTGGGTTAATGTTTATTTAATTTAACTGATTTCATATAATTTTGATAAAGTGTTAATTGGTTATTGTGTGTTTAATTTACATTCAATTGTTTGATCGGCAATTACTTTATTTAAGGATAATATTGAGACTGAGAGGAAATTTATATTTGTAATTCATAAGTTTTGATAAGAGATCGAAATATATTTTTATAACTTATGCAATCAAGATTGAATTACTATTATTTGATGCTTTTAAATATGTATGAATTTAAATAAAATATAGTCCTTGTTTGGTCTCCATTAAAATTTTCTTTCTTAATTTTAACCATGCATTCTCCAAATAAAATAATATTACACACAAATCTATAACTTTTCATTATTTTGCAACCACACATTCTCCCATGAATCACTATTTCAGAATTTATAAATTCTCCAAATTTATTAATTAAATTAATTTATTAATAAAAAAGTTTTTAATAGGCTAATTAGCACAAAACGTCCCTACATTTGGGGTTGATTTCGAAAACCATCCATACTTTTCATTTCTTGGCATTTATGCCCTTACCTTTCACTTTTTGTGCGCTGGACGTCTTTTTCATTGTTTTTTGACAATTTTACCTCCATTAAAGTAAAACAAAAAGAAATGAAATGAAAAACAATTGAACAAATTGCAATCATTGGCCCAAACTTTTTAAAAAGTGCAAAGAACTTACCAAACTTCACCTTCTTCCTAAAACTTGCCCCCACCATATCGTCACCTACTGGCCATTTTCAGGCCACCGTGGCCACTGATTTTTGCACCAACACCATCTCCTCATCAACCCCTAACATTCCTACAAAAATTTCAGTCCCAAAAAACAACAAAATCGAACCGAAATTCGGTCAAAAAACAACCTTATATACACGGATGAGAGTTGTTCACATCATTAAACAATTTAAAAGAGAAAATCGTGTGTCATAAAAGAAGTTGTTTGTATAAATTGGATTGATTGAGAAATTCATATGCCGGGCATGATCAAAGCTCTATTCACCCTTCATTTCAAAATTTACCAAGTGCTTTATTATTAGATTTCATATTTATTTGGAAATGATAGTTAACAAAGAATTGGTACGTTCGGTTTAGTAACAGAATTAATGAAATGACTAATGTTTAAAGTCAATTAAAGTTAAATGACTCATTGCGTTTTCATTAAAATTTCAATGACCAAAAATGAAATTAACCAGAATGATTGCACATAGAATATTTTCATGAAATTTATATAGCTAGTGTACACAGCGCAATACCTACCAAATAGTTATCAATTCCATTATTAATGCATGTGGACTGGAGCCACTCACAAACAAACAAAAACAATTGTCCTTGGAGTTTCAAATACTCGAATTTTTAGTGAGATTATAGATCTCATCAAATGTGTAATTAATTATTAATTTTAATTTGAAATTTTAATCTGCATTAAATAGGAGCATGGATTAAATAATGGACGACAAGATGAATTTTTAGTTGCGATCTAGCGTTGATTTTTTTTTTCAAATTCATTTTCTATTACATAGTTTTTCAATAAAATAATTATACATGTATATTCAATTTTTTTTTTTACTTTTTAATCACACATTTTTTAAAAAATCCATATTATAAAATCTGTTTTCTCAACAAAAAAGAAAAAAAGAGAGAGAGCAAACATACACTAAATCTCGTCATTATCCATTTATGAAAAGTTTGCAGATGTCAAGTTGCATGTAAGAGCATTTTCAATACTCTTTAAATATGAGATACTCTCTATTTTAAAGAGTCAACATTTAAAATCATGCTCCCAAACCCACTCTCTAAATTAAATGTTAATTTAAAGAGTCTCTTGGAAAGGGTAAAACTCACATTCTATAATTAAATGCATTCAAAGTGTTTCAATTTTAAATGTAGAAAAATTATAAAATAATATAAAGAAAAGTTAGTTAAAATAAAAGATAAACAAAAATAATAAATATTTTTTGAGAGTAGTAAAATTAAGTATTAAGGCTCTATTTGGGAGAGATTTAGATTTTT